ATTAAAAGCCAAGCGTGATTGATCACAACCAGAAAAGAATAATGCGGTAAACCTTTAACAAGAAAAAAATTTATATAATAAAATATAAAATATGTATAATTATATATAGTTGAATATATATGTATAGTTGCTATTAAGAACAAATACTAACTTGATAGCTTTACGATGAATGTTTACCGCATGAATTATTTGTTTATACATCGTAATCTCGTTTTGTAAATTAACATTGTTCAGCGTATTTATTGCTATTGCTTTCTCGATGCGATAACTGTAAAAAGTTACATTATTGATGTATAATTATATATGTGATTATATTCGTATTCGGAGAAAATCTATTCGCTATATATTTCATAATATTGTAACAATGTTATAACAATTTAACAAATATTATAAAAAGATTTGTAAAAATTATTTAATTAAAATTATTTTTTAATTAAATATTAATTTAAATAAATTAATATCATCAACTTAATTAATTAAATAATATTTATTATTTCATTATCTCAAAACAGATTTTGTCAAATAGTAACATGCTTTTTCTTTAAGTTATTGTATTTTAGAACAATATGGATATTTCTTCCAACAAAAAACCTTTATAATTATTATTAATGACAGAGATTTTGCTTTAATATAAAATAGTTCATGGTGGAGGAAAAATCGAATTGCTGTTTAATATGAATTTTGCTATATGAAATTTTTTTGTGTCTATATATAAATTTATTTTAGATATAAATAATAAGAAAGAAGGTTTCGTATATATAATCACAATTTCTACATTTATTCTTATTCATTTATATAACTTTTTCACCTGGCAATTCTAAATATTCCGCAGGCATGTATGATATATGCTATAATCATCATTCCTGTTGCCACTATTGCTGTTCCTCCTACCGTAAGCGCTATGCCCATATGTAGATAAATCAAATAGAAATAATGTTCTCGACCGACAAAATGTTTAGGTATTATCGCTTGTATTACGCGTTTTATGTCTTGCTTATTCAGAATACCATTAAAAGCATATAATGCAAATGGCATGAAAAAAACAAGGACTAAATTGTTTATGTGAAACACTAAAAATATTAAAAGAATAATTAGTGATTTTCATTCAAGTCTTCAACATCGAGAACAATGGAAAACGTGTGCAAGCCGCAATTAACAAAAATCGTTGTTTGACTGTGCAAAAATATTATTTGGCTATTTTGAAGACGACATTATCCATATCACTCCGGTTCTTTCCCTATAATATAGGGCTTTCCTATAATATAAGCAAAGATCGGACACTTTGGGACAGACCTTGCATATATTCGTAATTACATTTTGAATTTTATTGAAGATGTAACATCAACGTTGAATATTTTCTGATTAAATATTCAGGTAATTAAATTAACGTAATATTTAAATAAATAATATCATAAACGTATAAATAATTTATAAATAATATAAATCTTATTGCAATTTATTTAGCTTAACAATATGTTTTGAACGTGAGTGTACATTATCTTACATATAACTATAGCTGTAAAACGTTTTGCATTGTTCCCATATCTCTTGATGATATCGATTTCTTTCTCGTCTTTTAGCTCATTATAAATATGCTGAAGTTGTTCCAATGACCATTTCATCTATTAATCAAAAAATCAAAAATAATTTTTGACATTCGTCTCATCATAAATTTTAAAGCAAATTTGTATGTGCATATTATTTTATCAACAATAATTATTCAAACATTAAAATCACTCACAATTTGGTTATTCATTCTAAACGAACTGTATTCGATCACAAACATAAGAACAAATGATGTAATAGAGAAAACTTTAACGACAAGATCCGGAGTGTAGTCTGCAAAAACAAACGCTGAAAACTACAATTGATAAATTTTTCAGAAATAGCATCAAAATTCTATTTTTTTATTTAATACATTATAAGTATAAATGATTGCTATATAATGTATAGTGGTGCAACAAATTATTATTACAACAAATATCTGTGATATATACACACACACATATATATATATATATACACACACACACACACGCGCGCGCGCGCACATTTATTTTTTGACAGTAAAATATTTCAATATTTTTATGCATATAATAAATTAGGAATTAATTGATATAATGAAACATATCATTACTTTTAAAAAATGTATGTAATTACACATTAAAGAAATATGATAAAAAATATCAAGTTACCTGATACACGATATAGCTAATTAGAAGGCCAAGAATAAAAATTATTTGCATATAAACTAATTTCGATCGCTGATAAGGCCATAAGCCAACTAAAAGTAAAATAATCCGATTCAAATTGAAATACTGAGTCGTAACACAAATCATCACTTTGCAAGAAACGTATTCCGTTTGACTGAAACATCAACGATGATACACGATATCCCCTTCTTTCGTATCGTGAGTATTTTAGAACATTTCTTCCTCGGTGTGAATTTTAAATTGCTTAATTTGGCACAAACATGAGATAGAATAGTAAAGAAAAATACTACCGTGAGATCGGAACACTTGGGATTTTATGTCTCAGCCTAATAAAATTAAGCGATCGATCGATTAAACGCTAAGAGAAATTTAACGAATGTCCAGTTCCCACAGAAAATTACTTACAAAATGACTTCATTCAAAATTTATGCAGGCATAATTTCGTCTTCTTCTGACAATAGCAATTTCATTATAATGTGCATTGATAAAATACATTTGAGCAGATTGTTAATGTAATCCGATGTGGAAGCTTGTATACGTTAGTTTAATTTTTAAGAGTACTTTATACAATTTAAAATTTACCACGATAGAATACTACAATTTTAT